GGTAGACCAGAACACAGTTGGTAACAACGAATAATGTTCATAACAACGAATGGTAGTTCTTAATCGGGTTTTAAAGAACAGCTAGTAGTTTCGAGTGAAGTTCAACGAAATGACCGAGATCTTTAAACCCGAACCGAACCGTGTTGGCTATGAATAGGGCCGAACTTTGCTCTTGTGTGTCTTGTGAATAGATTGAACTACAAGAATATGTTGGCGAGTGCAAAATAGTATCACGATACAATGAATAATTTCAAATCGGCTATGTTCATGTTGTCGTCACTATATCACTACTTATTCAAGAAATCAGGCGACTGTATCATCTTACATGGCTGGCATTATATTGTTCCAATTTTGTCAGTATTTTCGAAGTTTGCGAGGTGATTAGAAAGACAACTTCCCACTTTTCTTTATGGAACACCATGACATGACCTTACAGCTCACCATTCCCCAAGATGTTTTTATATGATACAATATGCTTTCAAATGTCCTGCTGGATAGGTATTTCCACCGTATACTCATATTGATACGGCTTTCCCTACAATACAAGTATTTGGATACACTTGATAATTATCCTGTTCCCGATATAATTGAAAATGTTCTTCATCAAAGACATGTTTGATGTCTACTAGATTGTAGATTGTAGATGGGTCGTATAGGCTGGGAGACCTCTCGATCACTGCGACCTAGAAGATCTATTGTGATTACCCCTATCTTGTTTCGGTCCTCTAACCCTAGACTTCTGGTGAAGCCTACGATTTTCCTGATGGTTGACTTTTTTCCACTTCAGCAGGGGTGAGATAGACCTGTATTCTAGGTGGTTCAGCCTTTGGCGGACTAATACTTCACATGAGCAAAGTATGTGTTCCGCGGTTTCGGTCGCATTGTTAGAAAAGCGGCAAGTGTCAGTCTCCGCCAGGCCCATCTTTTTGAGGAGGAACCTCAGAGGGCCGTGTCCTGTGAGAAAGCCTGTGATAAGCTTTAGCTCTGGTTTGCTGAGGCCGAGTAGCTCTTCGGCTCGGTTCTGCGAACGGTTGATAAACCTTTTCGCTTGTCGTTGACCTGGAGTTGCTCTTCAGTAGGAGGACTTCTCAATTTCTTCCCATTTCCTGGGTCCTCCCTGTAGGTGACATTTGCTTATCCCACAAAAAGGCTCAGGACCAAAAAGTGCAGATGCTGCACCTCTTTTTGCAAGGCGATCAGCTTCCTCAGTTCCTTTGATTCCTTCATGCTCTGGAACCCACATAAGTGTGACTTTGTTGCCCTTTCCCAGTTGCATGAGTGTTTCAAAGCAGTCCCATGTAATCTTTGATGTGAAAACGAATGATTTTAAGGATTTTAGTGCGGCTTGGCTGTCTGAGCAGATATATATGTTGGCACCCCTCAGACCTTTGCTCAGGCACCTTTGGGCGCAAAGGTTGATGGCATGTATTTCAGCTTGGAAGATAGTGGGGGAGTGACCTAGGACGTCAAATAGCCTACATCCGGGTCCATATACACCCGCGCCTACCCCTTATTCCATTTTCGAACCATCGGTGTACCAAACAAGGACCCTCTGTCCAGCTGAGGCTCAGCGGAACCGTACCTAGGGCGGCTTCTTATAACTACTTCAGACGTATGATCGAAACTGAGCCTGGCTGGCATTATGTCCAATGGTTTGGTTGCAGATTCCATTTGTACTTCTTGTCGAATGACCATGTGACCAGTGACTTGATGTCTACTAACGATTATATATTCAAAGACTTCTCAGTCGGTATAAGTCAAAGAATAATTGTTTTCGAGGTGTCAGGTTAGAGATTCCAGCATCCCACAGAAGTAGAAGTAGTGATTATACTAATTCAATAATAAAACCACCAGCAGGACGTCCAGTAGGCATCTCATGGAACGACCACTGCAGGTCCCGCAGCATTGCGTCCGATGAATGTTTTGTGTTGCATGGAAAAATAGATAGTTGTCAAGGATCAGGTTTTGAGGATGTTCCTGAGATAAACCTGACAAAACGGATCATACAGTTTTGAAACAATGAACCATATATTTTACTCAAGTGGAGGGTGACTGTCAATCTCGAACCACATGCATGGACACCATTCTTCACCCATCGATATTATTTCCGTCGGCCAGGCAGATTCAATGATGTAATTTAACGTGTTCTAGATTCACAACCCATCAGATCAGATAATCAATACTCACTATTCGATTGAACAAAGATAAATGGATAACTGTAGGCCTAGTTTTATACATAATTGAGATTTTGTTCAATCTCACCGCAGGCAGGGACAAGACTCCAAAATTTTTAATTCCGGTAACCTGGTGACTATAATGGATGTATATACTCAGATCCTCTAAGAATCAACTCTCTGTATTCAATATCGTTTCTATATTCGATTATTGCCATGTATATTGAATCAGTGAATATGTGATGATCCTTTATTCAGATAGGTAGTGCAAGTTCCGAATTCAATTAATTCTCCGATAGCTTATTGAATTTCCGAATATGGTATGAGTTGAGGTCACACTTCGTGTAAATTCATTCACTTATGGAGAATATAGAATATTGAAATGATTTTATGAATGGATGGAATTATCAATTCGAATATTCGTATATGGTATTATACAATTATTATCGTTGATCACTTGAAAATTTCAGATACAAAATACCGCAGGTAGTTGAATTGAAGTACGCAACAAGTCAATGAAGTTACAATCAATAATTCATGAGAATTGAATTTGTCACGAATTAGTCACCAATTCAGAGTCCCCCTCTTATCTCTCTTTGGATATCGGCTTGCCTGTTTTTTGCGGGTAGGGCCCAAAGCCGATAAACAATAACAAGGAAACCCACAAAAATTCAACATGGAAACATGGAAACAGATTAGGTTCAGTAAATAGCTCATTGGAATTTTTCTCCCAGATTGTTGTTCATTTGAAATAGATTGTTGATTTTTGGAGAGATCACGCTGTGCAGGATACTGATTGAAAAATTCCACAGGAGTAATTATCATCATTATTCTGATTTTTTTGGGATTTTCTCCCCTCGTTTCTATAAAATAAAAATATGAATATTATTTCAAAAAGAACTAGCTTGTCAGTGACAATTTGTATTGAGAAAGTTTGGAGGAGAGAAATAAAGGTATATTGAAAAAATATTCAATTTTCACTTATCTTTGGAAGTTTTGGGACCAATTCTGCTCCCGTTTTCAACATAAGAAATGATTATTTTATTAGTAGAGTCGTATCTGAAAACGGGAGCAGAATCGGTCTCGAAACGTCCAAAGATAAGTGAAAATTTGATATTTTCTCGATACCTTTATTTCTTTCTCCAAACTTTTTTCAATACAAATTGTCACTGACAAGCTTGTGAATTTTTCTTTTGGGCTCTCTGATAGGAGAATTCTTGAAACGCAGTGACATTTTGGGGCAAATCATCTGATTTGTCCTCACTACACGTATATTGAAATAATATTCATATTATTATTCTATAGAAACGAGGATGGTAAATCCCAAAAAATTTGGAATAATGAATTCACCACCTCCTCGATTAACCTACAGACAGTATTTAGTAATTATCTTGTTGATCATCGTGATACATTATCCATATAGTTTGAGGAAACACTCATCATACTTCATTATGAAATCTTCAATCATCAAGAATTTTATTGCGACAATAAGAAGAACTATTTCTGCTATAATTTATTTTGATTTATTGTGGAAAATAATAATAATCGTATTGATCGATATAGTTTTAAAAATCAGATGAGCTATTCGAAATCTGTCCGCTTAGAAAGAACAAGTATGTTTTTCCACTCCAGGGAATTTCACTTTCATTTTCCTCGGAAGCTATTGCAACGCTTTTGAGGCATACAATTTCCCGATTTGATCAACAATACAATAACCAAACAAGTAGACCACAACCAATTGGGGTTCATTTGAAATCACAAATGAGTGATTCTTCAATTTTTATATCTCTTTTTTAGTTGCATTTTCGTCAAGAAATCATATAGATTCAACATGTTGTGATTACTCCTGAATGAAGAAACCATCATCATTTTACATTCAGAGAATCATTCAGTAGCAAGGTTGCTGAAGTCTGAATGATAGAAAAACACTAGTGGTGCCCGCGAGAGTCTCGTTTTCGAGAGTCTCGCATGGTTTCGTCTCGTTTTCGATACTAGACTCGATACGAAACTCGGAAAAGTCGAGACAAGACTTCCATTTGTTCTCGTCTCGAGTCTCGTGCAAGACTACTCGTGTCTCGTGCGAGAGTCTCGCAGGTGAATATTTCTGCGTGCCGACTGCAGACTTGAAAATTTCATTCATAATACAACATATTCAGAAAGAATTCAGACTATTTAGCACAGATAGACAAAACATTTAATTCATAAAACACAATCCATGATTGTTGTAAAACGTCGTAATGCGTGAAACGAGAACGGACTATTCTCTCTCTTACGGCGGAATAATGTTGGATTAAAGGTTTTGTTTTGTTTTGTTATTTTTGTTCTAATTTCCTCTTCCTACTTCTACATCATACCTGAAAAGTAGGTGAAGGTAGATATCCCGTACTAGACTGGAACAAGATTATGCCTGACGAAATTGCGATACATTTGCGAGACTCTCGTACGAGACGCGAGACAAGACGAGACTCGAAGCTGCGAGACGAGACTCGAGACAAGAGTTCATATTCCATCGGCGAGACGAGACTTTATTGTAGTCTCGTCTCGTTGGTCTCGTGTGAATCACTAAAGGAAACCCAAATTCTTCATTGAAACAGCTATCATCAAGAATACAAAAAGGAGAAACATAAAAGACCTCATCACCACGTACGATCGGCATCCTGCAGAGCACAAAATTTGCGTTCTGGTTTCGGCCTTTCATTGTGCATTAATACCAGCGTAGCCTATCCTTTTAAGAAATCAAAATTCACGACTTGCGCACTTTGATTGCCGCTCCGGAACGAAACACGAGCGTCGCGACGCTTTGCATCGCTGGCGTCAGTCGACATGCGGCAAGGGGCAACTGTACAACCTTATGGAGGAGACACGCGAAAATGTGATGCTAGTGCTACTCGTAGCGATGATTTTGGTGAAGCTAAGTTCCTTTCCTGCAGTCTCGGCATTAGGTATGGAGTAGTCTGTTGATAGCCAACGCACCTAGTTAGTCGTATTGTTGTTTGGTTTCACACATTTTTCTTTTTTTCTGATGTTTCGACATGCAATATCATTGAACCAACAAACTATAAAATCGGAGGAAAATAGATGATAATATTCAAAATTATGAATTGTTATCGTAGAACTCATACAAGGTGTCAATTTGAAAACTTCCCACCCTTAATATATCCCTCAAAGTCGATAATATGGAAAAATGAAAAGACAGGTCGATTTCATTCTCGAAGGAGACACTTAAATTGAATATTTTTGACTGTCATAGTTCAACCCCCCCTAGGAGGGGGATGATACCCTCAGAATATGAATGGGTGAGGGCGATCAAGTGGCACATCATTTTGAAAGGCGTTCAATTCTCTTTCCAACGATACCTTACTTTACTATTGTTTGACGAGCAGTTTCTGAAGAATAGCGTTCTGAACCTACAGAAGTGATCTAAACTTGCCTGCACTGAGATGCATGGTTTCCAGGTTAGTATTTGAACAGAGATTATTGTATAGATTCTCCTTTCAGTGAAACTGGTCAGGAAACAACTTTCCATCTTTCCAACAGGGGCAACAGTATTAGCCATTCGCCCCAATAAATCAACATCAATGAGTAATCTAATAGTAACATTTCGATGGTAGCTTATTTGCGTTTATTATTAGATTTTTAATTCTACAGATGGCCTCCCTTTTTTGCTACTGCTGATTCAAAAAAACTCCGTTTTTTGAGCAAAAAATTCCCCAGCAAATTTTAACGATTTGGGTGTATTATTTACTGAGTTTCATTCGTTGAGCTGTTTATTCAGAGTATAAATTGTGGAAATGATTGTGATTTATGGAGAGGCTGGAAAGTGCGCACGAAGGGCCGCATTTCTTTTAAATGAAAGAAATCCAAATTCTATTGTAAGTCACCGGTATGTGCTTGATTTGGTGAAAAAGTTTTACGAAACTGGTTCTGTGGAAGATGAAAAAAGGAATAATCCTAGAGAACTGAATGAGGAAGCTCAAATTGAAGTTTTGAGAACATTTGCTGCAGAACCTACTAGCTACTTGTGATCAGTGGCAGAACAGACGGGGATGTCACACGAGACTGTAAGAAATGCACTGAAATTACATCAATTTCATCCATATAAGATGCAGATTCTTCAAGAGCTCCATGAGGATGATTATAATAGAAAAATAAAATTTTATGAAACGATGTCATATCGAGTCAATACCATCCCGAATCTATTGCTAAATATCTGTTTCAGCGATGAATGCTCATTTTTTCTGAATGGAACTGTTAATAGAAGAAATTGTCGCTATTGGAGTGATGAAAACCCTCACACAGTTGTCGAGAAGGACATACACAACAGCCACAAAAAATTAAAGTTTGAGTTGGTATTCTTGGAAATGCCATTGTTGGTCCATTATTTATTGAAGGATGACTGGCAAGCTTTGCCTAGATATGCTTGAAGATACTATCGATCCTCCTATAACTCACGAGCTAGAAAATCAAATTGATGCAGACGGTAATTTACTTTTGCAGGAGGATCTGTTGCATTTCCAGCAGGACGTTGCTTCACCTTATTATTTTTTTCCGTCCGACAGTGGTGAAATGATAGATTCCCGGATAGATGGATTGGCAAAGGGGAGCAATTGAGTGGCCTCCGAGATCACCGGATTTGACACCTTTAGATTTTTTCCTTTGGGGACATCTTGAATACGTGATTAATGAAACTCAACCGACGGATATTGATGAACTCAAAGGAGGAATTACAGCAGCATGCCGCTCAATTCGTGATGAAGTCTTCCAAAATGTTAGAGAGGAGTTCGAAAACGGACTTTATTATTGTTCAGAACATAATGGACATCATCTCGAACAGTTCATAAGATAGTGCGTGAATAGATGTTTGTAATTTATATCTCGCACTCTGAAAGTTTTTTTCAACTAATATAACCAACAAACAAATAATCAAACCTGTAGACTAGATTTATTTTTGTTGTAACGATGCCACCTAACCTTCTCACCATTTTTATCAATGGGAGATTCAAATCAATAATTTTTGTCCTGAAAACAATGCATCTGAGTGAATGCTAATTCTAATAACTTCTGTAAGTTCAGAACGGTATTTTCCAGAAACTGTTCATCAAAAAAGTAAGGTGCCGTTGAAAGGAGAATAAGACGCCCTTCAAAACTCGCTTCAAAATGATGTGCCACTCGACCCTTCTCCCCTATTCATATTCTGAGGGAAACATCTACCCCTCCTAGGGGTTGACCCATGAAGTTCAAAAATATTCATCCATTGACCTGTCTCCTCGTTTTTGCATATTTGCACTTGAAGGGAGATATATTCAAGGTGGGAAGTTTTTAAATTGACACTCTGTATATTCTATATATTCAATCCTTGCCAAATTCGGCACCAACTGGGGATTCAATTGAATTTACTGCTCTATCTAATAAGGTGGTGTAGAACACTCATCAACTTTCAATAATGCAACCAGAGAGAATCTGACCCAGAATAATCAGCCAAAAATATCAGTAATACTATCATGAAAATCATCAAGAAGTTGTCGATAATTCTGATTATAACGTATCTATGAACATCGGTCATGAAAAACCGTTGAAATGATTATGAAAGGTATATCAAATGAACCGGAGAAAGTATGAGGCACTCATTCGTGGAACCAGAATTGGAAATGTTTTTATAGGATTGTTTGAAACAAAGTTGATTTGGTTTGACCATGTCAGTGAGCTTGTGATCCCATAAATTATGCTGAAATTCTTCTTCGTGTATATGATATCTGGGGGCCAAAAGGTTTCGATTCACCCTTTCTAGGGTGTTTCATTTGAAAATCCATTTCCTGTTCCTTTCTTGTTGAATCGGGAATTGAGTTATCGGTCCCACCATAACGTCTTTCTGAATGATACAGATGATTTGATTTCAGACCCATCAATTTAATGTCCCAAAAATGTCCTATCAAAACAACAGACCGTTTTTTTTTTGGAACAGACGATATATGGGTCATGAAAGGTAAATTATGTTTGAATAGAACTTGGATAATATGTCTTGTGATATATCTTGTCTAGTACTTCCAAGGGTATATGGAGAGGACAAATGAATCGATCGTATGAAAACCATTTTTTATATCGATACCATATAACCTGTATAAAGAACTATCATTTGAAAGGCATGTTTAGTCTATCGTTAAGAAGGCATTGAAAACTGTAGGCTTCATCTTGAGAAATACCGAAGGATTTCGAAATCATATCTCTGTCGTGTCAATGTATAACTTCCTGGTGAGGCCTCTATTGGAATATAATTTCGTTATATGGAACTCTGTTCATGATAAATATATCTCACGTATCGAAAATCGACAAAAATTGTAAAATATTTCAACCATGGATATTTTCGCCATCGTCATTTCGAGTGTTATGATTCTATAAAATTGAACGTTCATTTATCCGGAGAGGATTTTTCGATTTTTTTTTGTTTACAAAATATCCGATAATCTTATTGATGCTAACTACGTAACTCCCGAGTATACTCATTTGATTGCAACCCCTACATCACAAGAAATAAACTAATCATCTACATACGATTTTTTGATAGCAATGATTCAAATAGCTCTCCATTCGAAAGATCAATGCATTCCTATAATTTCGTTTGTAATACCCACTTAGACATTTTTCATTATTCCACAAATCTCTTCAAAAAGCATCTTGAATATTTTCTATGTTCAAACTATATGCAATAACTGGAATAGATCATTTACTAATTTGATAAACATATAGTGGTAACTCACTGTTCTTCTTTTTAGGTATAAGTTAGTTTTAGGTTTTTTGTATGATTCCAGGCTCATATGTGATGTATTTTGTTATATTTGTCACTCTGTTATAGGACGAGCTCCTGAAGTTCTGTCTGTTGAGTGACCATGCTCATTGAATAAATAAATAAAAAAATATAACTTGTTCAACCAATTTTCATTATGTTCCTGAAGAACATCCTAATAACTTTCTTAGTGAGAAATTCGAAACTTCTATGGAACTCCAAGAGAGAAATTTCATACTTTCGTCAAAATCGTCAATCAAAATGCAATGTCGATAAGCCTGATAGCTTTTATATACCTTCAATAATAATTCAGACTTTCTCCAGTTTTTTTCGTGATTGTTTGAGTAGCATTGTCATTTTTCTTCGAACGTCATATTGGATCCTCTCAGATTTGAAATCAGCATTAATTCAACTCCCAACTGAGATGCGATTCGAATATTAATTTAGTTGTATGCAAGATTCTTGCAATATTTGGAAGAAAACAAAATTAGTGACTCCTCATAGATTCAATCAGATGAATTGTTATGAATTCAATATACTTCATCGTCATTTATAATTTACTTATAATCAGCCACGGAGGATAACTTGATTAGCTAATGCCTTCCTTAGAAAACAACTGGTAACGTTTCGTAGTGTGCCCATAAAGTAGCGCACCTAGAATGAGCAATTCAGCAAGTCATATCACACGTTCATTTATTGTTCATCCATGATTGTGCATTGTGCGGGAAGACACTTATCGAACCACTTTCACTGATATTCGACTGAAAATGATATATTATTCGAATAATTAAATATTCTAATCCATATAGTAGTAGTAGCACGATGCATAGCCTAATATACAAGTGATGACATTTTTCTAAATATATACAATACATAGATATAACAAACCATACTCAACACAATGAGTAATTTTATACATACAAGTTATTTACTGATATCATCATCTTTTTTTCTATCCAATGTATTTATTTACTATCTCATGAATATTGTCTTGTTATTTGAAACTTCCAAAAACTGAAACTACACAGGGTAGTCGCTGATTAAAAAAATGCATTTATTGCTACTCCTGGTCCATAGAAAAACTGTTCACATATTATCATGATTGCGTTCCTGGTGCACAAATCTGCAAAACGAGAAAAAATTAGCTGAATTTCACTCAGG